AGGCTGGAGGTGTACCTAAGTAGTAAAGCTCTTGCCTATCACATGTGAGGCACTGGGTTCAATCCTCAGCACCACATGGAAATAAATAAATAAATGTATTGTATCAGACTCCAACTAAAAAGAAAATATTAAAAAAAAAAGTCAGGGGCTGGAGTTGTGGCTTAGCGGTAGAGCACTTGCCTTGCACATGTGAGACCGTGGGTTAGATCCTCAACACCACATAAAAATAAATAAGTAAAATAAAGGTATTGTGTCCAACTACAACTAAAAAATAAATATAAAAAAAAAAAGGGTTGGGGCTGTAGCTCAGTGGCAGAGCACTTGCCTAGCACATGTGAGGTACTAGGTTCGATCCTCAGCACCACATAAAAATAAACAAATAAAGCCATTCTGTCCATGTACAACTACCAAAAAAAAAAAAAAAAGTCAGCTTTAAATGGATCAAAGATCTAGGAATTAGACCAGAAACTATGCAACTCATAGAAGAAAATGTAGGGGCAACACTCCCAACATATATGCACAAGCAACTACTTTCTCACTGAGACTCCTAAAGCTCAGTAAATAATACCTAGAATTAATCAATGGAATGGCATCAAATTAAAAAGCTTCTGTACAACAAACAATTAAGGATGTATAGAGAGAACCTACAGAATGGAAGAAAATCTGTATTAGCTACTCTTCTGACAAAGGATTAGCATCTAGAATACACAAAGAACTCAAGGGCTGGAGTTGTAGTTCAGTGGTACAGCTCTTGCCTATCACGTGTGAGACTCTGGGTTCTATCCCCAGCATCACATAAAAATAAACAAATAAAGATACTGTGAGAAGGAGAAGGAGAAGGAGAAGGAGAAGAAGAAGAAGAAGAACTTAAAAATTCAACACCAAAAGAAGAAAAAAAAATAATGGGCAAGTGAACTAAACAGACATTTCTCAAAAGAAGAAAAACCAATGGCCAACAAATATATAAAAAATGTTTAACACATCTAGCAATTAGGGAAATGCAAATCAAAACTACACTGAAAAAAAAATACACCAGCTCAGTGGTAAAACATTTGCCTTACATGTGTGAGACACTGGGTTCAATTCTCAGCACTGCGTATAAATAAATAAAGTAAATAAAGGTCCATTGACAACTAAAAAAATATTTTTAAAAAACTACACTGAGCAGATGAATGGATAAAGAAAATGTGGTACAATGGAATATTACTCAACATAAAGAAGAATGAAATTATGGCATTTGCTGTAAATGGATGGAATTGGAGACTATTACACTAAGTGAAATAAGCCAATCCCCAAAAGTCAAAAGCCGAATGTTTTTTCTGATATGTGGATGCTAGCATACAATAAGAGGGGGAAGAGAATAGAAGTTCACTAGATTAGACAAAGGGAAATGAAGGGAAGAGAGAGGGGATAGGAATAGAAAAGGTAGTAGAAAGAATCAAACATAACTTTCCTATGTTCATATATGAATTCATGACCAATGTAACTCATCATGTACAACTGTAAAAATGGGAAGACTCCATGTATGTATGATATGTCAAAACACATTCTGTTGTCATGTAGAACTAAAAAGAACAAACAAAAATAAAAACAAAAAACTACACTGAAGATTTCAACTCCTTCCAGGTAGAATGGCAGCCATTAAGAATACCAAAAAAAAAAAAAAAACAAGAAAAAGCCTGGAGAGGAAGGGGGAGAAAAAGAAACACTTTTACACTGTAAATTAGTACAACCACTATGGAAATCAGTACGAAGTTTCCTCAAAACACTGGGAATGGAACCACCATATAACCCAGCTATACCACACCTCAGTATTTATCCAAAAGAATTAAAGTCAGCATACTACAGTCATACATGCATACTCATCTTGATAGCATCACAATTCACATCAGCCAAACTATGGAACCAGCCTAGATGTCTATCAGTAGATGAATGGATAAGAAACCTTGGTGTGTGTGTATACACACACACACACACACACACATATACATACACATACATACATACATACACACACACAGTGGAGTTTTATTCAGCCATAAAAAAGGAACTCTGTCATTTGCAGGAAAATGGATGGAACTTGAGAACATTATGTTAAGGGAAATAATCTAACCTCAGAAAGTCAAAGGTTATGTTTTCTCTCATATATGGAAACTAGAGATGAAAAAGAGAATAAAGGTGTGGGGGAGTGGCCTAAAAAAAAATCGAAGGAAGATCAGTACAAAGAAAGATACCAGGGGGAGGAAAAAGGAATAGAAAGGAGAAATACTGGGAAATTATACTGACCAAATTATACTGTTACATGGTGTGTGCACATAAATATGTAACAATGAATCCCACTATTATGTATAATGCACCAATAAAAATATGCAAAAATTAAATTAAAATAAAAAAGGATGTCACTCACTTATCATTCTCTGATTTCTTTAACCAGACTGTCTTTCTTCAAAAACTTATCACCACCTCATATGTAATTCCTTTTAATTTCTGCCTCGCCACACAGAATGAAAGCTTTATGAGCAAATCTAAAATTTCATTTCTGAAAATTAGAACAATATTAGCACCTACTAGGTACTCAAGAAGTTGTTTTTGTTTTTTCCTGGTAGTGGGAATTGAACCCAGGGACCTTTTACCATTCAGCTATACGCCAGCCCTTTTTTTTTTTTTTTTTTTTTGAAACAAGGTCTCACTGAGTTGCTGGGGCTGTTCTCTAATGTGTAATCTTCCCATCTCCTCCCAAGTTGCTGGAATTACAGGTATATGCCACCACACCCAGCTCAAGATGTACTTCTTGAAAGAATGAATAAAAAGGAAAAATTCAAAAGGAATAGTTTTATTGGAAGAGTACAGTTAAGCACAAAGGGTTAAAAATGGTTTCAAGGTTAGGATGTGAGTCAGTGGTAGAATACTTGCCGAGGATGTAGGAGGCCCTAGGTTCTGGAGAGAACCACAAGAGGAGAAGAAGAGATCTGAGTGAATAATTAAATGCACTACAATCGATGGCAAAAGACATTTTTGGCACAACTAGGAAAATGTGAACTTAGATTGGATATTCAGCAATATTACAGAATTCTTGTTAAGTGGTAAAGAGACAAATACCTTTATTTTATAGTGATCAATACTAAAGCATTAGGGAATAAAGTATTCAAGATTTCTATAATTTACTTTGAAATATCTAAGAAAAAAGTAAATATGGCAAAATATTAACAACTGTTAATTCTAGAAGATAAGCATATGCACGTTTATTATTCTAATCCATATTTCTGTGTGCTTCTCAATTGAAAAGTCAGATGAAATATGATCTAAAGCTAATGAGTAAAAACTATTTTTTTCCTCACAGTTAAGCTTCATAAAAGAAGAATGAAATACTATATTGAGGAAGGTTTTTTTTAACTTATAAACCACAACTCAAAATTACCTTCTTAGATTGAAGAAAATAAAATTGAAAGAAAAGGAGTTGAAGAGAAAAGACAGAAATAATAATTAATAGGACAAGAGCCTGAAAAAGATGGGAATGAATAAATAATACCTTGTATTCTGAATCAACATCATAAAGAAATAAAAAAACTGTATTTTGAAAAAGGATGAAAGGAATATAGCTAAGTCTATCAGGGAAATGACAGAAATTTTGAAAATGATGGTGGATGAATTAACAGTAAGGGAATTTACTGAGAGGTATGAAGTGAGCTGCTGGGATTGTAGGCGCGTGCCCTTGTGCCCCTTTGGATAATGATGTCCATCACATTCCACCATCATTTCTAACCCCATGCCCCCTTCCCTTCCCCTCCCACTCCTCTGCCCTATCTAGAGTTATTCTATTCTTCCCATGCTCCCCATCCCTACCCCACTATGAGTCAGCCTCCTTATATCAGAGAAAACATTCAGCACAAGGGCACAAGGGCACGCACCTACAATCCCAGCAGCTCAGGAGGCTGACGCAGGAAGATCAAGAGTTCAAAGCTTTTGCTAAGGTGCTAATCAACTCAGTGAGATCCTGTCTCTAAATAAAATACAAAAAAGAGCTGGGGATGTGGCTCAGTGGTTGAGTGCCCCTGAGTTCAATCCCCAGTATCCGCCCCCCACAAAAAAAGAATACCTACTATGACCTCAGGTTAAAAATCATTTAAGTACTAGAAGCAGGAAGAATAAAGCTATCATTCTTAATTAATACACTTACCCTATTTCTATTAAAAACAAAAAACCAAAATGAGCCAAGAATGTTTATCTTAAACTTTTATAATAGATACCCAAAAAAGCTTCATTAGAAAGTAACATACCCTGGGCTGGGGCTGTAGCTCAGTGGTAGAGCACTTGCCTCACATGTGTGGGGCACTGGGTTCAATCTTTAGTACCACACAAAAATAAATAAATATATTGTGCCCATGTACAACTAAAAAAAAAAAAAAAAAAGAAAGTAACAAACACACCACACACATAAAGAAGGTAACATACAACACATAAAATTTTAAATTCTCAATTCATCATCTATCTTTCTGGCTATGCTACTCATGGACTTAAGTGACATTTTGGAGTCAAACTGAGGGGAAAAGAATGTCAATAAATGGAACCACACCACTGAAGTGGTTTTAAAATAACAGCACATTAGGCTAAGGTGCAGTTCAGTGGTATAGCACATACTTAGCACATACAAGGCCATGGGTTCAATCCCCATCACCAAAATAATAATAGTAAATATTAATAATAACTGTACATTCACACATATACATGTACCAGGCTCATAACTCCAGTCAAAATACAAGGAATAACAGGAGTTTAAAGGTAGTACAAGAGGTCCTATAAACAACTATTAAAATTAGTGTGACATTCCAACATTAACTTTGATATTGAAACCACTGTTAATACCACCAATTAAAACCATGTAGTTCTATCATCTAAGGAGGAAAAAGTAATTATCACTAGAATGTTTTGTCATTTTCACTAAATATCCTATATGCTTCAACAAACTCCTATAACTAAAACAGAAAATATAAAATACTTACTTTTTCATTTTTTTTGAGTTGTATTTGACTTGGTAAGCTGCTTGGATTAGTTTATCTGCACTACCATCAAACTGATGTGGAATGACCTTCTGAAAGTGCTAAAATATAGTAAAATAAAAACATAAGAACCACTAAGTGCCATTTATTATTAATAGTTAAATCTAAAGATATACAAGAAATCATGAACTGACTTACCTGTAACATCCCTTCCATGTCAAGTTGCATTAATTCTGCCTGATTCATTTGAAGAAGTGCTAATCCTACTCGAAACACTATTTCTAAACCCTGATGAAATAAAATAAATAAAGCCAAATTTGTTTTAACTTTGTCATCAACAAAAACTAAATCAAAATAATACTAAAGTAAATATTCAGTGTTCTAAACCAGGGACTAGCAAACCTTTTCAGTTAAGAGTCAAACAGCAAATACTTGACACTTGGTGGGCCTCTGCCACAACTACTCAACTTTGCCACTGTAGCCCAAAAGCAGACATAGACAACACATAAATGAGCAGAGCTGCATTCCCAGAAAACTTTACTCTCAAAAATAGGTGTAAGGAGAGATTTACATGCAAACTACAACAGATCAGTGGCTGAACCGTAGTTTGATAGGAAATACAAATTGATCTTGCCAAGATGTAACTAATAACAATTAACTTTGGGTTCAGAAAACAGAAGACAAAGGATCATTACGTGTCACTCACACTTAAAAGACAATTTGCAATATGTTCACAGAATAGAAGAAAATTATACCAATTATTTCTAGCTGTTTGGATAATAGATACACTACAACAATATTACCTGTAAGGTAGATTTTACCTTTCACTAATTTTCAATAAATCAGTTAGGAAGTGATAAACAGGTTTGATTAAGAAAGTAGATTCCACAATTTAACTGTCTCTGCCTGAACCTAGTTACTATACATGTATGTGTGGGTCTACAGACAAGCTACTTTTTTTTGGTATTGGGGGATACCCCTAATTTTATTTTGTTTTCTAATTTTTTTATTTTGAGACAAGGCCTCTCTAAGTTGCTTAGGGCCTCACTAAGTTGCTGAGACTGGCCTTCAACTTGTGATTCTCCTGCCTTAGCCTCCCAAGTCACTGGGATCATAGTTTTGTGCTACCACACCCAGCTTAGACAGACTAGCTATTTAACCTTTCTCTAACTCTGTTTTCTCATCTATCATCTAACAAATAGGGATAGTAACAGGATCCACCTGATTATGGTTTAAATTAGATTATCCACAGAAGCAGTTGAGCAAGGAACACATGAGCTCTTTTATTGCTCCCCTTTCTTCCCTGCTCTAATTAACCCAATGATTCCTTTGCTCAGCTCTTGCTGCTAGTCTGCCAATTAGCTTACCTCAGACATAAAGATATCAAATATCCGTGTTGCAATTGGTAATGGAAAAGTTGTAAGAAAGATAGTCAGAAACCAGGATGATGCATACATTGAGGTATGAAAACTCTGAGACTGAAAGTGTACAAAGAGCTCTGGAAGATGCTCCTAAAGAGAAGAAAACAAAGTAAAATTAAAACATAGTAAAATTGAGTGTTTTAAGTCAGATTATTGTATTTATACTAGATTATACTAGTTTAGTTTATATAAAAGATTAACCTATACCACACACAAAGATCAGGTCAAGCATAATGTGAAAAAGCTGAGATGTCTAGTAATTACAGAAATGCAAATCAAAACTACTCTAAAGTTTAATCTCACTCCAGTCAGAATGGCAGTTATCAAGAATACAGACAACAATAAGTGTTGGAGAGGATGTGGGGGAAAAGACACACTCATATATTGCTAGTGGGACTGCAAATTGGTGCAGCCAGTCTGGAAAGCAGTATGGAGATTCCTTGGAAAACTTGGAATGGAACCACCATTTGACCCAGCTATCCCACTCATTGAGTCTATATCCAAAGGACTCAGTGATGCAGCCACATCAATGTTTATAGCAGCACAATTCACAATAGCCAAACTGTGGAACCAACCTAGATGCCCTTCAAAAGATGAATGGATAAAGAAACTGTGGCATATATATATAATGGAATATTACTCAGCAATAAAAGAGAATAAAATTATGGCATTTGCAGGTAAATGGATGGAATTAGAAAATATCATGCTAAGCAAAGTACGCCAATCCCCAAAACCCAAAGGCTAAATGTTTTCTCTGATAAGTGGACGCTAAACCATAATGGGGGGGAGAGGGGTTAGAATGAGTGGAGGAACTTTGGATTGGCCAAAGGGGAGGTAGGAGAGGGGAAGACTGTGGAATGAGATAGTCATCGTTATCCTAGGTGCATGTATGATTGCACAAATGGTGTGACCCTATTTTGTGTACAACCAAAGACGTGAAAAATTGTGCTCCATTTGTGTAAAATTAATTGAAGAGCATTCTGCTGTCATATACAACTGATTAAAATAAATAAAGGAATGAAATTACGACATCTGCTGGTAAATGGATGGATCTGGAGACTATCATGTTAAGTTAAATAAGCCAATCCAAAAAGTCAAAGGTTGAATGTTTTCTCTGATATCCAAAATAGGGCAGTAAAGGGAAGGGAGAGAAAGGGGGCGGGGGGAGGAGAGATAATTTCATCAAAAGAAAGGAAAAAGGGCTGGGGATGTGGCTCAAGCGGTAACGCGCTCGCCTGGCATGCGTGGGGTGCTGGGTTTGATCCTCAGCACCATATAAAAATAAAATAAAAAGGTGTTGTGTCCACCGAAAACTGAAAAATAAATTAAAAAATCCCCCCCTCTCTCTCCTCTCTCTTTAAAAAATAAAAATTAAAAAAATTTTAAAAAGAGAGGAAAAATTTGTAGAGTAGAGGAAGGTCATTGAGGGGAAAGAAGAAGGAACAGGATAGGGGAAGAACAGTAGTCTGAATTTGGACAAATTTTCATATACACACACACACACACACACACATATATATATATATATGTATATATATATATATATGAATATATCACAGTGAATCCCAACATCAAATATATCTATAATATATTAATTTAAAAAATATAATTGCAGAAAGACCAACAGAGTAGAGAGATGGGAATAGAGGGAAAGGGGGAAAATGCTGGGGACTGAATTACAACAATTTATATTCAATGTTTTTATGATCATGTCAAAATGTATTCTAACATTGTTTATCAATAAAAATGGGATGTGGTTTTTTTTTTTTTTTTTTAAAGAAAAGCTGAGATGTAGAAATTGACACATTCAGAATGATAGATACTATCTGAGAAGGGATGAAGGGGGAAAGGATGCAGAGTTGAAACTTTGGGGATATCTATAACATATGACTTATTAATAATAAAACTAAATTATAGCCAAATTAATTTAAACCAAATACCCATCCTATCTCAGATACTATTGAGTGTCCATGTGATGCAATGTTTGTATTCATTTAAGCTTGTTGGTGGGTACATAGTTGCTTTTTTGTCAACTCTATTTCCAAAAAACTAGAAGCCAGGCATAGTGATGCACACCTGTAATCCCATCTAATTGGGAGGTTGAGGCAGGAAGTTTATAAATTTGAGGTAAACCTGGGCAAACCACAAGACCCTATATCTCAAAATAACAAGTAAAAAGGGTTAGGGCTATAGCTCAGTGGTAGAATGCCTCTGCTATCCAGTTTCAAACTGTAATTTACCTATCAGTTAAAAGGACTGATTTTTTTCAATTGTTTTAATGCTTTTAACATTGAATTTGTAAAGATGTCACTCAGAGATAACAAACATAAAATTGTACTTTTACCTGTATCATGCACTCAAACTGGTACATACAAAGGCCCAATTCTGCCATACTTGGTTTAAAAAGTTCACGAAGTCTATAATCTTGCATTAATTTAACAAATACACAGAAAGCTTCTTCTTCTGGCATCTGCATTAGTAGAAGAAAGTAACACAGGTTAATATTCTATGATGCACAAATAAATCAAATTATATTTAAAACAAGTACCCATCCAATCATAAACACTGTTTTGAGAGGCTACATATTGCACTCAAGAGCAACAGATTAGTAAAAATCAGGATGTCCTGGGCTGAAGATGTGGCTCAAGCGGTAGCGTGCTCGCCTGGCATGCGCGAGGTGCTGGGTTCGATCCTCAACACCACATAAAAATAAAATAAAGATATTTAAAAAAGAAAGACACAGGATTTTTTTTTAAAAATCAGGATGTCCTAAGTTCTCATTCTAAGAATGTAAAGTTAAAGAAGTCTTTTAACCTTTAAGACTAACTGCTTTAAATGGCCTAATTCATTAATTCAACCAAAAATATTCATTTAGAATTGTATACTTTTCTTTTTCTGAGGATCTACCAATGAACAAAAAAAAACATAATCTCAACTGATTGTGTTGGTGCATGTCCATAATCCCAGCAACTTGGAAGGCTGAGGCAGCAGGATTGCAAGTTCGAAGCCAGCCGCAGCAACTCAGCAAGGCCCTGCCTTAAAATAAAAAGGGCTGGGGATGTAGTTCAGTAGCTAAGTGCACCTGGGTTAAATCCCAAACACCAAACCAAACCAAACCAACAAACAAAAACACCACATAATATCTACTCTCAAGGAGCCTGAACTTTATAGTAGGGGGAAATAAACAACACATGTAATAAATTAATTCATATATTTGTCAAATGGCAATGAATGAAATTGAAATATAGTAGGTAAGAGGGAATGTTGAGGAGACACATTAATATTTATGTAGGACAGGGAAGGTCCCTTGATAAGGGAACATTTGAGAAAAATGCTGAAGAAAGTGAGGGGAGAATCTGAGGTAAAAATAGTCCCAGAAGACAGAAGAGAACAACAGCCCTGAGAGGGAGTCAGGTCAGCATACTCACAGAATTGCAAACAGGAAACTTCTAGTTTAGTAGTAACTAAGTTAGTAGTAACTATTTTAGTAGTAACTTCAAGATTAGTTACTACTTCAAGAAAGTAAAATCTATACAAGAAGTACTTGGGGGGCTTGGGTTTGGCTCAGTGGTAGAGCGCTTGCCTAGCATGTGTGAGGCACTAGGTTCAATTCTTAGCACCACATATAAATAAATGAAATAAAGACCCATTGACAACTAAAGAATATTAAAAAAAAAAAGAAGTAGTAGTAGTACTTGGCAGATGCCAAATTAAAGAATGAGAAAATAATGTGATCAGATTAAACTTATATTGCTTTAAAAAAAAAAACTGGGGCTGGGGTTGTGGCTCAGCAGTAGAGTGCTCACCTGGCACATGTGAGGCACCGGGTTCAATCCTCAGCACCACATAAAAATAAATAATTAAAATAAAGGTATTATGTCCAACTACAACTAAAAAATAAATATTAAAAAAAAACTGAGATAGAAGGATTGCATGTTCAAGAGCAGCCTGGGCAACTTAGCATGACCTGTCTCAAAATAAAATAAAAAGGGCTCAGGATACAGCTCAGTAGTAGAGAGCCACTGGGTTCAATCACAGTACAGCAAAACAACAACAATGAAGAAGTCATTTTGAGTGCAGGTTAGATTATGGAGAAGAAATAACATCAAAGGTTTTAGAGACCATTGTATGATTTCTGAATTTGACCTTAAGTGAAATGGAAAGCCCTGAGAATTCTGAGAAGTTATATAACATAAATGTTTAAAGAACTTATGAAATTAGTTTTCAAATTATCTATAATTGGAGTTTAAAACTATCAATTAAACATTTTGATTGTAAATAACTAAGAAATCATATCAAAGAAGATGTGTGTGAAATCTTTAAGAAGTTACAAAGACATTCAAACTATTTAGGTAATAACATTACGCAAATTGTTAAGCCATCTTTCTCAAAATAATATAAAATTTGCTAATTCTCTCATTCACTCACATTATACCAGTGTGTTTCAAAGAGAACAACCTGAAGAATCTCTAGGCATTCAACTTATTGAAGATGTTGCAAATAACAATATACTTTTTCTGCCTTGACATAGCCATGGATAGAAATCAAATTGCCTTTGATAAAACCCACACACACTTTCTTCCTTCCTGCCAACACAGCCACGATTCTGCCCTGGAGACCATCCCTATTAATCTCATCAAGCTCTACAGCATCATTGATTTATGTCAGTCACTACAAGAAGCCCAAGATTCCAGAACTTTTAATCCTATATAATTCTACTGTTCACCTAATCTGACCCCATTTCCAATCTTCTACCTATACCCTCAATCTCTTTTGCAAATATTCTTCCCTTCCTTTAGCTAAAAATCTGGCTCTCCCCCAGGGTGGTTATTTTCTCTGCCACAGTATCAGAAGGAGCAAGGGGTTAGGTAAGACATATGTTCCTCCTTTCACCTCACAGCCATTTCCACAACATTAACCTTCTCTGTTCTCTGAAACACATGCTAACAGATTTGACCCATTAAGGCTCCCACCCCACCCCACCCGAGCATCTACAAAGTTCTGGGCCACCCTCCCCACAACTCCCTTGTCATTTTCATGAAGATCACTTCCCTGGCCTAGTGGATCTTTGACTTCCTTTCCTCCAATAAGCCTGGCAGGCAGTTACTAGCTCAAGCTCTAAAGTCATGGCAAAGGTTGAAATCTCAGTTTCTTCATTTAATAGAAATCTTATTTTCTCCACTTTAATAGCTATGTGATCTTGAACAAATTATTTGATCTCTCTGTTGCTCTGTTTCACCACCTATCAAATGGGTAAAATAATAGCACTTATTTCACAGGGTTGCAATGAAGACTAATATAAAGTACTTGGGGCTGGGGTTGTGGCTCAGCGGTAGAGTGCTCGCCTAGCATGTGCAAGGTCCTGAGTTTGATCCTCAGCATTACATAAAAATAAATAAATAAAGGTATTAAAACAAATGTGTGTGTGTGTGTGTGTGTGTGTGTGCGCGCGAGAGAGAGAGAGAGAGAGAGAGAGAGCTAGAGAGCTTAACAATTTATTGACCTTGTCAGGCTATACTTCCTTCTTCCTATTCCCAACTCTGCTGTGCTCACTTTGCTACATATTTTATTATATTTATTCACTTGCTTAAATCCATAATTACTTTTTTCAACTCTGTTATAATTCCAACTGGAAAAACTTCCTTCTTATATAAATTCAACTCCATACCTGTATCTAAATAGCACAAAGTGGCTGGGAAAAAATAAAAACAAAAATTTATCCGGGCATGGTGGTGCACGCCTGTAATCCCAGTAGCTCCAGAGGCTGAGACAGGAGGACCGTGAATCCAAAGCCAGCCTCAGCAACTTAGTGAGCTCTAAGCAACTCAGTGAGATCATATCTCAAAATAAAATACAAAAAAGGTCTGGGGACGTGGTTCAGTGGTTAAGTGCCCCCAAGTTCAATCCCCAGTACCCCCTCCCCAAAAAAAAAAGAAAGTAAGTAAGTAATCAGAAGAGAATGCTGGAGTTGTAGCTCTCAGTGGTAGAGCACTTGGCTAGCATGTGTAAGGTACTAGGTTTGAGCCTCAGCATCACATAAAAATAAATAAATAAATAAAGGTACTATGTCTACAACTAAAAAGTATATTTAAAAAAGAAAAGAACTTTCCCTTCTATCACCCCACTTGCATCTGTAACCATTTTTACAGCCTCTGGTCCCTTGTATCTATTATCCTGGACCTTTCCCCAAATCCTGTCCTGTAGTTCCAATTGCTCATTTAACATCTCATTTGGAGTCCAACATATATCTCAAACTGCTCATCTAATTTCCTACCCTGCCATTCCTGGATACAACAAATTTCTGCTCAAAAACCTTAGGGGTCATCACTGACTTTTTCCTTCCTGACTCTACAACCAGTCTATCAGCAAATTTTACTGGTTCTATATTCAATTTCCAGAATCAATCTATTCTTACCAGCAACACCTAGCCCAAACCACCACAAAGAGAGTAGTCTACCATCTGAACTGTTACAAATGCTTTCTAAATGGTCACTTTGCTGTCTTCCTTGTACTTCCTTTCCAGTGGTCCATTCTTTATACAAAATAATGCCAGTGACACTTTCAAGGCATGATTAGAACATTACATTCTACTGCTCAAAAACTCTGATAGTTCCCCATATCCTCAATAAAAGCCAAAATCCTTACAAGATTCTACATGATATGATCTCTAATCTCTATTTCTCATTTCCTATCATACCTTCCTCTTTCCACCTTTGTGGTGAGCCAGCCATGGGCTATGCGTGTGTGTACTATGAGCACTGAACACATAAGTGGACTGGACTGACATTGCCTCTCTCTCTGTTTGGGCTGGCGACATATGTGTCCTTTTCACTTGTTCTTCCTATGATCCCCACACAGCACATGAGATGGGCATGACCTTCCAAGATGTCAGTCAATCTGCCGACAGAAAGACATCATGAAGCTAGACTCATCATGAAACCTGACTCCTTGCCTCATTTGAATGGCTTCTCCCCAATGAAACCCAGGTTCGAGGCATGTTCCCTCTCTTTCTTGCTTGCCTTGCCCCCCCTCCCCCTCTCCCTCCACCCTCACTTGTGGGAGATATGGCTGAGGAGTGGTCACTGAACCCAAAAAGGTACTTTCTATATCTGTGTCTTTATTTAGTCAGCCCAAATTCACTTGGAGTGACCCTGACCAGTTTAGTCATGTGTTGTGATACACCTTCTCCTCACCCCTTGGTCCAATCATAGTAGGAATGAATCAATTAATCTCCCTTTTATCTCTTACAAGAAGAGTCTCTTCCCTTCTGATGTTCCAAAAACCTTCATTCCCTCTCCCCTTTGAAAGAGCACTGATATGAGAACTGGGAGAGAGTTTTTTGATTTTTTTAAATGGTGATATTTTAAACATAAGGTAGGATGATTTGACAAAAGAGCAAAAGGAGGTAGAAAAAAGTATCACTGGGTCCTGTGACAAAATGAAAAAATATGAGACTCCGTGACACTTATAAATATGAAGAATCACCACCCAGCTGTTTTTTAGTCATTCCTTTCCATTAGAAAGAAATCATGACAACAGAGTCCTAGAGCAATGTGGTGCTGCATACTTTCTCTATGATTGAGCTGATAAGACAACATGTCTTTTGCAAAGGTCTAACACGTATAATATACCTAATTTTACAAGAGTGTTAACATAAACACAAAAAATATATCTAGCACTTTAAACCACTTTTACACCTGTACTAACTTTATAAATTTTATCAGACTCTCTTGAGTTACACTGCTATACTGAAGTTGTGGGAAACACTACATACTAGAAATATAAAAGCATAAACTTTAGAATCAAAGAGGGGGGGTTTTCAATCTGGATCCACCACACTTTTTACCTCATGGCCCTGGGCTATTAAGAGATTATTGTTGTGGTGGCACACTGCCTGCCACTGACAAAAACAGCTAAAACGCCACTGATGACTTCAATTGTGGTGCTGATTCTCATATCACTATCACCATTGTCTTCAGCACCTTGAAGGAAAGTGTGGTTAGCTCCTTAGGGCTCCTAAAGAGCTAGGCAGCTCTTTTGACACTCAGACCTCAAGTAGGGGAAAATTGCTCTGTAGACACTCAATAGAGATGACTACTAAAGGATTAGAAATGGGGCAGGATGATCATAACCTTGAAAAGAAATGGCATAATAGTGTTATTTCTTTAGCTTTATTGATACATATTTATTTCATTTATTTATTTTTAAGACGTCTCCCTTATTCTTTAGTCTCAGAAGTTTACTCCTGGAAAGGAACCTTGGAGATAACTTGATTTGAATTGTGTAAACTAGGCTTTGCATCTCAGTTCTTCAGTAGATCTACGAACTTGAGCTATATTATTTAACCTCAGAATCTTAATTAAATAATATTACCTATGTTCAGATAATAAAGGATTACTCTGGAGCTGATATAAAAGCAAAAGGATAAGGATGGTTGAGTTCAATGGTGAAAGATCTACCAATATTGACCAGTTATAAATGAAGACAGTCACAACTTTGTGAAACATCTACACCCTCAACATTAACATACCTAGTTTTGTATTATATTAATTATAACTAAGTTTCACCTAGAAATGGACAAATATTCTGTAATAATCACTAGAATCAGTTTTTATGTTATAATACAAAATACAAATAAGTCAATTTGATTGTCAACTTAGTATCTCAGACACCAGGTTTATGCTACTCAGAAAAGACATATGGAGAGCTGGAAGTAGCATGATGTAGTAGAACATATGCTTAGTATGCACAAGACCCTGTGTTCAATACACAGCCCGAGAGAGAATGAGGTAGGGTCTGTGAGTGTGTGTGTGTGTGTGTGTGTGTACATTTCTGACACAAAGCTTTAAAAATCAGGTAAATTAAAGAGTTAGAAAATTAAAGTATCAGGAAAAAAGAACTTCTTACTCCTGCTCTGCTTCTATCTATTAAGATGTGTGATTTGGGGCAAGTCATTGAACCTTTACTGCATGTCTTCTAAATGCCAAACACCAAGCAGGACTTCTATATATAATATTTCATATGACCCTCATGAAGAATCTGAACATAGATAATATTATTTAATTAAGATTCAGAGATTAAATAATCTATCCCAAGTTCATAGATCTACTGTAGAACTGAGATGCAAAATGCAGCCTACATGATTCAAATCAAGTTATCTCCAAAGTTCCTTCCCAGGAGTAAAGAGTAAAGATGGATATCTTAAAAATAAATAAATGAAATAAATATATACCAAAAAAGCTAAAGAGATAACACTATTATGCCATTTCTTCTCAAGGTTACGATCGTCCTGCCCCTAAATTGTGAAAATATCCCATCCAAACCCGTCCCCAAATAAGTCACTGTCAATGCTATATCCCTGGAACAGTAAAAGTAGCTGAGTAACACTATTTTAGAGCTTTTGGCAAGATATGCATAATAAGACTGCGGGTCCATGATATATAAAATTGCTATATAAATTTTCAAAGATGTCAAACAACATAGATAAGAGCTTCATGTCATCATTTTATTCATATCCTTACTCCCCATTAAATGTTGACAAGACTTAAAAGTAGATACAGGTTTTAGTAGAACATTATGGTATAACTATATGCATCAAGAAGTTCAGGGGTGGGGCATATGGGTCAATGGGTACAGAGTAGGCAATCCCTAGCACCACAAAAAAGAAAAAGTTGTTAAAATATCATTTGAGGGGCTGGGGTTATAGCTCAGTGGTAGAGCGCTTGCCTTGCACTTGTGAGGTACTGGGTTTGATCCTCAGCACCACATAAAAAATAAATAAAATAAATAAAGATTTTTTTAAAACACCCTTAAAATATATCATTTGATGAAAGACACTATTATATATCATTTCAACAATTTTCATCTTTCAAAGTACAAACTAAAATATTATTATTCAAATTAGACTTTAGGGAAAAAAACTGAATATTCACTTATACTTAATAAAAATAATGCTTTTTAAACCCTCCAATCCAACCTTAATAAAGAACTTAATTAGACATTTAATACTTGTATTAACTTACCTGCATAAGCAATAATCCAACTATAAAAGCACTTCCTTGACAGTAACCAACCTCACGATCCACTAAAGAATATGCCTAAAAAGTAAAATATGGTGTTCAAAATATTTTGACATGGTATATTAGACCTTCCTTCTCCCAAAACCTGAAATTGGCGAAAGAGTTGATTAAAAGTCAATTTTTTTTAAAGAAAAAAATCTTGTTTACTTGTTGTAGATGTTATCCTATAAATATTTTAAGAGCAAATGTTTTATTACATAAAATTTTCATTTGACAATTTCCAATTAGAAAGCAATAGCTGCTAAGGATGAAGGAAAAAAAGGAATGTGTACTCAGTAAGGTAACAGAGCTTTAAAATCAACTAAAAGTTGTATCTGATTAAGATAAAATTAGAGTAGGGTTATGATAAAGCTTAAGCAAAATTAAAATGATTTAACAAGAAATCCAGTGTTTCGTAAAGATAGCTGGAATAAAAAGAATCTAAGGGAAGGGAAAAGGCAATGTTGAAGAAAAAAATTAGGTAAAATCTTTATTAAGAACCCTTAACAATTCAAGCCACTGCAAACAGAAAAATTTGCTGACATGAATGCAGCCATGTTGGGAGAAACCTGAATCCTAGACTATGAACCTCACATAAAGTGAACTGTCCATTTTCATAAAGGATCTCTCTATGAGTAGGTTGGAGTAGAGTAATTATTAATATGTTACTTTATTTCCTGTCAAGTAATGTGAATGAATTTTCAACTAATATGATGAATTTTCTAATAAGTTGTCTAAGTTAAACAGAAATGTAGCAGCAAAGTTACAGTAGAAATTATGCTAAAATCAGTTTTGTTGCCAAAGCAACTGATTATGTGGAATTTCATGCTTTATCATGGGAAATGTATAATTTCAACTTTTTGAGAATTCATTTCATTTAAAAAATGAACAAACAGAACTTACCTTCATCACATTGAATAGAACCTCCTGTCCAAGGCTATCTTTTTCCTTAAAAAAATTATGTTCAGGATAAGTTCTAGCAATGTCCCTCCGGATCAGTTTTTCACAAGGTGAGGTCATTTTCAGGAGTTCTGAATACTGATCCTTAATTGGCATACTTTGTGCACTGCATAAAAGTTGCCAAACTATTGCTCTAAAATGGTGGGGTATTCCTTTACGAACAAGTTCCTAAAAAAGAAAAGTAAAATTTTAAATCTGAATTATTTAATAAGTCTCACATTTGCAAGCCAAAGAAGACTTATTTGGTGGGTGAGGGATGGTTGGAGTAGAGTGGAAATTTTTATCAATTCACGAAGCTGGTTTTAAAATAAACTGGGAAACTTTTTAACCAAGGATAAGATTTTGCTCTTGGGTATATCCTTTTCTGGTTATGGGGAGAGGATGTGCTACAAAGCCATGCATAAATTCTGGCCATTTCACCAACAATCCTGCCTCTAAAATTATTTAGGACTTGACAGCCTGCAGAGCTATGAATGATGGCATCATACCCATCACATTTAGAACTGCTATTGAAAGCAGAAAAGAAAAATACTGATAATTCAAGAATGCATGATGTCACAACTTCATTTCTCCATCTATAAAATGAGAGAATTTGGCTGGACATGGGCACACACCTGTAATCCCAGCTACTTGAGAAACTGAGGCAGGATTATCACAACTTTGAGGCCAACCAGGGCAACTTAAGGAGATCTTGTCTCAAAATAAAATAAAAGGGGCCAGAGGTTTAGATTAGTGATAGATTGCTTATGCATGAAGTCCTGGGTTCAATTCCAAGTACAAAAATTATAATAAAATTAGAGAATTTAACTTCTAAAAAATTTTCAGCTATATATTTCCATTTTCAGCACCTCTATAACAACTGATACCTACATGTAAAAATTCCATGAAGAATTGGAATATTTGGGGGAACAAAATTACTCCTTTGAGCTAAGAAAATATGAAAATGGTATTTAAATATTAAAGTAATGATACATAGTTTACACTATGATTTCCAATTATCTTATTTTAGTGTTGAAATCACTTAAAATAAGAGCCTGGCTAGGGTCCTAGTATTGCCACCCACTGTCTAGTGATACTTAGTCAAACTTGCTAAGCCCCAGTCTCTCTACTGTAAAATGGGATTATTAATGGGATTTTAAAGGCTACTTTTCTTGCAGTGTTTTAAGAGAACTGAATAACATAGTATCTATAAATTATATGACAATGTACATGACATAATAAAATTTTCAGTGAATACTTTAAAAAAATTCCATGAAACACAAATAAATGAAAACATAAAAAGCAGATTTCTTCACTATACAGAGCTTGGAAATCACTAAAATCTGACTTTTTTTCTAATTCTCTAATAATCCATACCTGATACCCCTTTGGGGTGAGAGAAAAAAACTTCAATAAAAAACATGAATACCTTAACTTGTTTTTCCTTCTTTTTGCGCACATCTTCCCATTCATTAACAATTCTTCCCCAAAGAATCCAAGAATCTTCTTCAAGGTGGCTGAGATTACTGGAGGCTGATGAACTTGATACAAGAGAGGAGCCACTATTTCTTCTTGACCCATTTACAGATCTTAAAGACTTACTATCCGTCTCTAATAATCTAAAACATAATTAAAAATTGGTGAATATCTCATCTCACAGTGATATTAGGTGAAGGAGTGATGATACTTAGAGTTTGACTACCATGATTTAACCATTGTTTTAAGATAATTTTAATAATGTACATGATTTCAATAATTTTTGGTTGATATCAATAAAATAATCACTATCTTTTTCTTACCTAGGTACAGGAGTTTCAAAATTTGAAACAGCAAATAATGTTAAATATTTTGTGCAATTAGTCTCATTGTAATTTACTTTCATTTCCATTAAAAATTCAAATTAGAGAACCAGGCACAGTGGCAGGTGCCTATAGTCCCAGCTACATAGGATGCTGAAGCAAAAGGATAATTTGAGCCCAGGAATTTGAGAGCATCTGAACAAAGTAGTGAGAGATAATCTTTTTTAAAAAATCAAATTAGGGTAAATCTAATGTAAAAAGTGGTTGGGTAGGCTTCAAGGAAAAAAATAATGCTTGGGAGAAGTACAAGAAATTTTATGGAATTACTAATCCTTTCATGTTTTACAATATGACCAAGGTTTTAAGAAAAGTAATCAGAGCCACAGAAATTAGCCAAGTCTCTTTTTTCATTTGTTTCACATATTCATACCTAATCTGCCTAAAAAAAAAAGTATATACATACAGCCTATTTATAACTATATTTCTTGAAAAAGAAATAGAAATCAGAATCAGGTCCATATTCCCGCACAGTAAAAACAGGATTCACTAAGTAGGAGCTTCTTCCTTTAAGGATGAAGAGGGATTTCACCCAATCTCCACAATCCTTACTGTCTTCCCAAACTCTAGTCAATAGTTGCTATTCATCACTAGGCTTCCACAATGAAACTGGAATCTCGTTGCTCTTAATACCCCAGCAGTCTTTTGAGTATCTAACCTTGTTTTAGCTCTCTTCTCTAAAGAAAGATGCGTTAAGGTAATTTCAAAGATACAGTCCATAACTCATCACTCAAAACTCATAACTCATCTTTTCTTTACGTATGCACAGGATACAAAAAGGAAGGCTGGAAATGTGGCTTTATAACTATAAAGATGTAGATTATAAATAATTCAAATAATAAGGGTCCTAAAATATCTATTTGTTTTTTAACATGGCTACCTACCACTCAATTCCAGTACCTCCTTCAGAAAGGCATATGCTTAAGGTACAAAAAAATGCTTGCAATACTAATTTATGAAATAGAAAAACTGAGAGAGCGAAAACACGAGTCAAATCCTATTTTGCAGTTATAGAACCACCCTTGGAGGATCTACACGTTTATATTCCTTAAATTATTTAGCTCAGTACAAAAGATATTAAGTAGTGGACTGAGGCTATGGCTCAGTGATGGAGCACTTGCCTAGCCTGCATTAGGCCCTGTGTTGGATCCCCAACACCTCAAAAAAGAAAAAGAAAAAAAGTACATTAACTCTTTATTAAACTGAAAATTATAATCCCAGTTTAAAAAGTTTGAAAAACTTCCAAGTTTTAGATGTCATATTAAAAAATACCACAATAGGGGCTGGGATTGTGGCTCAGCAGTAGAGCGCTCGCCTAGCACAGGCGGGATCTGGGTTCGATCCTTAGCACCACATAAAAATAAAGGCATTGTGTTGTATCCATCTACACCTAAAAAATAAATATTAAAAAATATATACAAATATAAAATAAATTCTCTCCTTATTTAGGAGAATTTTAATATATTTTCATGGCAATGATAATTTAAATAAAATTTCCTAACTACTGCTAGAAACATAAAAATGTATTACAGCCAAATTAAGCATCAATTACTATATTTTTATTTGCTTTAAACACTGTTTTCCATATATATTATTTCAGAAATTCCATAATTTTTCTTATGGAAAAATTAGTATGACTAAGTAATTTTCTTTATGTTTCTAAAGATTTCTAAATGAAGTAGAGAAAAAAAAAAATCACTGAAATATCTGGACCTAAGTTCTTCATTTCACTTGGCTATATGTTTGGTATACGCCAAATAGTTAAACCGCATTACCATCATCATTTGGGACACACACAGTTCAAAGGAAATTATGATACTAACTTAAACCTAAGTTTGAGGTATAATAGATGTACAGATTTTAAAAATGCCTAATTGGAAGACTTTTGGAGTACATAAAGGGTTTCAGAGATTGCTGAGCTGTAACTATCTGGATAAACAGAAATGCCAAGTGAACTCATAGGTGGGTTACAGAAGTTAGCTAAGCAATTTACCTTCAAAGAACACTGAAATAACATATTCCATGATACTTACAAATGAAATATTATTCCAAATAAAGACATTACATTATTTAAGGATGTTACCCTTGCCTTATCTCACATCACATATACAAATACTATTCAAAATGGATGATAAGCCTAAATACAAAAACTAAAACTAAAAGCCCTCTAAAAGAAAATATACAGAAAACCTCTTCACAACCTTGAGATTGGAAGAAATTTGTTAATGAGACACAAGGAGATACTAATCATTAAAAAAAAAGTTGATTAAATAATTAGACTTCACAAAAATCTGCACTTCAAATGATTCCATTAACAAAATAAAAAACCAGGGCTGAAGTTGTAGCCCAGTGGTTAGAGCACCTGGCTAGCACATGTGAGGCCCTAGTTCTATCCTCAGCAACACATAAAAATAAATAGATAAAATAAAGGTACAATTAAAAAAAACAAAGAAAATGAAACAACAAGCCATAGACCAAGAAAAAATATTCTCAGTATATTTATCTGACAAAACTTATTTATATCGTATATTCTAAATATAAGAAGGGCTCTTAAAATTAATAAAAAGGTAAACACCACACTTTCAATAATTGGTGAGGGATTTTACCAACACTTTCTAAAACAAGATAATCAAATGACTAATAAGCCCCCAAGTTAACTATTTAGTCTTTAGAGAAATCCAAGTTAAAACCACACACTGGTATGGCTCTAATTCTAAAAAAAGACATCATACCAAATGTTGGCAGGATGGGAGCTAATATAACTCTCATAAATCAGTATAAAAAATATAAAATCATATAATCACTTTGAAAAACTGTTTGTCAATTCCTTATAAAGTTAAAATTTGCTTCCATATGGCCCAGTAAGTGTGAATACACACACACACACACACGCACAAATTATATATATAAAAACAAAAAAAACTTGCAGTTCCAAGTTCAGATATTTTATTCATAATAGCCAAAAGACAGAAACAACACAAATGTCCAGAAAAATAAACTGTCAATTTATGATATATCCATTCATTGCCAATACTTCTCCATAAGACAAAGAAACAAACTGGAGATAAATGTATCAACATGAATGAATCTTATAGACATTAGCCTGAATGAAAGAAGAATGGTACAAAAAAGTACGCATGATATGAGTTTATTTATATAAAGTTCAAAAACATAGTGTAGAGGAAAATACAGGTGTACATCCTCATAACTTTGAAATAGGAAAAGCCTTCTTAGACATGACTCTAAAAGCATAAGTGTCAAGATTAAAAAAAAAAAAAAGAAGTGGAATTTGACAAAATAAAAACATTTTGTAATTTACTAGCTAATCTCAAGAAAGTGAAAAGACCACCCACTAAAGGGGATAAAATATTTGCAAACTATAAAGAACTTGTATTTAGATATAGGAAGAACTCTTAACAAATCATTAAAAAATACTCAATTAAAAAAATGAACAAAAGATTTGAAAATATATTTCTCCTAAGAAGATACACAAAAATGGGGCTAGGGCTGGGGCTCAGTGGTAGCGCACTTGCCTAACATGTGTGAGGCATTGGGTTCGTTTCTCAGTACAACATATAAATAAAAAATAAATGAATAAAGTTCTATCAACCACTAAAGAAATAAAATAAAAATTTTAAAAAAGAAGAAGATACACAAATGGCCAATGAGCACATGAAAGATGTTCAGTAACACTACTCATCAGGGAAATGCAAATCAAAAATCAGAAAAGAAGTTCTACAAGACTGAGGTTGCTAGAAAGAAATTCTCTGGGATGATGGGAATTTTCTAAGATTACAGAAATTTTCTAAGTTTTAATAGGCATTATGGTTATACACATGTATATACATTTGAAATTCAATTCTTTTTTTTTTTTTAACTGAGGATTTAACCCAGGGGCACTTAACCACTGAGCCATATCCCCAGCTCATTTTATATTTTATTTAGAGACAGGATCTAAGTTGCTTAGGATTAAGTTGCTAAGGCTGGCTTTGAACTTGCAATCCTCCTACTCCTGCCTCACCCTCTAGAGCCTCTGGGATTTCAGGCATGTGCCACCATGCCCAAAGCTCAAACTATACACTGAAAAACTAAGCCTTTCTGTTTCACTCTTCTCATTTAGAGACTGGACTCTGAATTAACACATTATTCATTCATCTGTGTTACTCTGTAAAAATAACTATAGTTTGTATTTCTTACTTATTAAAAAATACAGGGGCTGGGGTTGTGGCTCAGCGGTAGAGCGCTCACCTAGCACATGCGAGGCCCTGGGTTCAATCCTCAGCACCACATAAAAATAAATAATAAAATAAAGATATTGTGTCCAACCAAAAATAAATAAATATTTTTTAAAAATACAAGCCAATTTGAAAAAATCTACGCTTTTAAAATTGTGATTACCTTCTGATCAGAACTTTGAGTGTTATGCAAATTAATACTGTGGTAATTTTTCTTAAATATGATATGTAACATACTAACCCAAAAACAGATGTGGTAGCTTTGGTTTTTAATATGGTGGTTTTGTTTTTTAAAGCAGATTACTTAAAAAGCAAATATAATTCAACTGAATTTGACAAAGCAGATGAGTTTTCAGGGTAGGGGTTTTAGTTTGGATTTTTTTTCATTTGTTTTAATTAGTGATAATAGAATGCATTTTGACACATCATACATAAATGGAATATAACTTCTCATTCTTCTGGTTGTACATGATGTAGAATCATACCGGTCATGTAATCACATAAGTACATAGGGTAATAATGTCTGAT